TTWAAAAATAATTATAAATAGTACATTTTATTATTAGTAATTAGCTGTCAATAATAATAAATATATATAAAAATTAATCTTAATTATTTTTTAAAATAATTATACTTAAAATATTTTACGTGAAATTATATAAAATTTAAGTTACCTTATAATTAACAAAAATTTATACATGCATTGCACGTGGTAATATACTAGTACAAATAAATATCAATAATAACATGTTAATATACATATTTGAAATAAGTGTTATTCATACGTGGAACAATTAATGATAAAATGATGAGTCTGAAAATCATTTTTCAAAAAAGTTTTAGGACTTAGAATTATTAACTTATGCTTTAAAAATTTAGGAAAAAATAGAATAATATTTAAAAAGAAAAATATATAATTTCGTCACCTAGAGATTCGAACTCTCGCGGGGAAACCCCATGTACTTAGCAGGCACACGCCTTAACCACTCGGCCAAAGCGACAACTTTGGACACCCTCAATAAACTTGTAATTTTTTAACTTATTATAACAGTTTTTTTTAATAATGAAAAATAACCAATATACACATATTTTTGTACATAAAATCTCATGACTGTGACATAGATAGAACAAAAACTCAACTTTTTTTTTTCCACTTTTAATTATTTTCGACCAAAGATACCCTATAAATTAATACACGCCGTATAATGCTTGAACTTTATTAAAGAGAGCAACATACTTCATTCTAAAAAAATATATTAAAATTTGTTAACAAAAAATTAATGTAACATTACTTTATTAACATATTTTAACACAAACGAATAATAATCATAATAAATATTACAACACATATACTGCTTTGGTACATAAATCCAATTTGCTATCAATAAAATTCATTTCTTCCAAACGACAAGTCACATGTCTAAATATGTTAATAAAATAATAATCTGATGACACTCAGCTTTCTATTAAAAACTTTGAACATATATATTTTTTATAAATTTAATTGAGAATTTTTAATAAAAATAAAAAAAATATTAAAATATTAAAGACCAACCATTCTATTGTGCTCGACTAAAATTGAGAAAAACTTTCCAATTTCTCTCGCTCTCTCTTCCAAAATGAAGTATACAGATTTTAACTACCCCTCCTTCTCTCTCTCCCCAAAATAAAATAAAATAAAATCTGATTTCCACGGATGAGAGAGAGACCGATAGCGAGATTGGATGAGAGAGAGCACCGAGATCGAGAGCGGGAGGGAAGGCCACCGAGAGAGGAAGGAGAGCGAGATAGCAGAAGAAAACCAAAATTAAGCGAGAGATTGATTACAAAAATAAATAAAGCTTTTAAAACAATTCCAAATCAGTATTTTTGTTTAAAATCTATAGTTTGTAAGA